AATTTTAAACCCAGAATTTTATATCCAGCCAAACTAAGTTTCATAAGTGAAGGAGAAATAAAATCCTTTACAGATAAGCAAATGCTTAGAGATTTTGTCACCACTAGGCCTGCCTTACAAGAGACCCTGAAGGAAGCACTAAACATGGAAAGGAACAACCGGTACCAGCCATTGCAAAAACATGCCAAAATGTAAAGACCATCAAGGCTAGGAAGAAACTGGATCAACTAACGAGCAAAATAACCAGTTAATATCATAATGGCAGGATCAAGTTCACACATAACAATCTTAACCTTAAATGTAAATGGACTAAATGCTCCAATTAAAAGACACAGACTGGCAAACTGGATAAAGAGTCAAGACCCATCAGTCTGCTGTATTCAGGAGACCCATCTCACACGCAGAGACATACATAGGCTCAAAATAAAGGGATGGAGGAAGATTTACCAAGCAAATGGAGAACAAAAAAAAGCAGGGGTTGCAATACTAGTCTCTGATAAAACAGACTTTAAACCATCAAAGATCAAAAGAGACAAAGAAGGCCATTACATAATGGTAAAGGGATCAATTCAACAGGAAGAGCTAACTATCCTAAATATATATGCACCCAATACAGGAGCACCCAGATTCATAAAGCAAGTCCTTAGAGACTTACAAAGAGACTTAGACTCCCATACAATAATAATGGGAGACTTCAACACTCCACTGTCAACATTAGACAGATCAACGAGACAGAAAGTTAACAAGGATATCCAGGAATTGAACTCATCTCTGCAGCAAGCAGACCTAATAGACATCTATAGAACTCTCCACCCCAAATCAACAGAATATACATTCTTCTCAGCACCACATCGTACTTACTCCAAAAGTGACCACGTAATTGGAAGTAAAGCATTCCTCAGCAAATGTACAAGAACAGAAATTATAACAAACTGTCTCTCAGACCACAGTGCAATCAAACTAGAACTCAGGACTAAGAAAGTCCATCAAAACCGCTCAACTACATGGAAACTGAACAACCTGCTCCTGAATGACTACTGAGTACATAACGAAATGAAGGCAGAAATAAAGATGTTCTTGAAACCAATGAGAACAAAGATACAACATATCAGAATCTCTGGGACACATTTAAAGCAGTGTGTAGAGGGAAATTTATAGCACTAAATGCCCACAAGAGAAAGCAGGAAAGATCTAAAATTGACACTCTAACATCGCAATTAAAAGAACTAGAGAAGCAAGAGCAAACACATTCGAAAGCTAGCAGAAGGCAAGAAATAACTAAGATCAGAGCAGAACTGAAGGAGATAGAGACACAAAAAATCCTCCAAAAAATCAATGAATCCAGGAGTTGGTTTTTTGAAAAGATCAACAAAATTGACAGACCGCTAGCAAGACTAATAAAGAAGAAAAGAGAGAATAATCAAATAGATGCAATAAAAAATGATAAAGGGGATATCACCACCGACCCCACAGAAATACAAACTACCATCAGAGAATACTATAAACACCTCTACGCAAATAAACTGGAAAATCTAGAAGAAATGGATAATTTCCTGGACACTTACACTCTTCCAAGACTAAACCAGGAAGAAGTTGAATCCCTGAATAGACCAATAGCAGGCTCTGAAATTGAGGCAATAATTAATAGCCTACCAACCAAAAAAAGTCCAGGACCAGATGGATTCACAGCTGAATTCTACCAGAGGTACAAGGAGGAGCTGGTACATTCCTTCTGAAACTATTCCAATCAATAGAAAAAGAGGGAATCCTCCCTAACTCATTTTATGAGGCCAACATCATCCTGATACCAAAGCCTGGCAGAGACACAACAAAAAAAGAGAATTTTAGACCAATATCCCTGATGAACATCGATGCAAAAATCCTCAATAAAATACTGGCAAACCGGATTCAGCAGCACATCAAAAAGCTTATCCACCATGATCAAGTGGGCTTCATCCCTGGGATGCAAGGCTGGTTCAACATTCGCAAATCAATAAACATAATCCAGCATATAAACAGAACCAAAGACAAGAACCACATCATTATCTCAATAGATGCAGAAAAGGCTTTTGACAAAATTCAACAGCCCTTCATGCTAAAAACGCTCAATAAATTCGGTATTGATGGAACGTGTCTCAAAATAATAAGAGCTATTTATGACAAACCCACAGCCAATATCATACTGAATGGGCAAAAACTGGAAAAATTCCCTTTGAAAACTGGCACAAGACAGGGATGCCCTCTCTCACCACTCCTATTCAACATAGTGTTGGAAGTTCTGGCTAGGGCAATCAGGCAAGAGAAAGAAATCAAGGGGATTCAGTTAGGAAAAGAAGAAGTCAAATTGTCCCTGTTTGCAGACGACATGATTGTATATTTAGAAAACCCCATTGTCTCAGCCCAAAATCTCCTTAAGCTGATCAGCAACTTCAGCAAAGTCTCAGGATACAAAATTAATGTGCAAAAATCGCAAGCATTCTTATACACCAGTGACAGTCAAACAGAGAGCCAAATCAGGAATGAACTTCCATTCACAATTGCTTCAAAGAGAATAAAATACCTAGGAATCCAACTTACAAGGGATGTAAAGGACCTCTTCAAGGAGAACTACAAACCACTGCTCAGTGAAATAAAAGAGGACGCAAACAAATGGAAGAACATACCATGCTCATGGATAGGAAGAATCAATATCGTGAAAATGGCCATACTGCCCAAGGTAATTTATAGATTCAATGCCATCTCCATCAAGCTACCAATGAGCTTCTTCACAGAATTGGAAAAAACTGCTTTAAAGTTCATATGGAACCAAAAAAGAGCCCGCATCTCCAAGACAATCCTAAGTCAAAAGAACAAAGCTGGAGGCATCACGCTACCTGACTTCAAACTATACTACAAGGCTACAGTAACCAAAACAGCATGGTACTGGTACCAAAACAGAGATATAGACCAATGGAACAGAACAGAGTCCTCAGAAATAATACCACACATCTACAGCCATCTGATCTTTGACAAACCTGAGAGAAACAAGAAATGGGGAAAGGATTCCCTATTTAATAAATGGTGCTGGGAAAACTGGCTAGCCATAAGTAGAAAGCTGAAACTGGATCCTTTCCTTACTCCTTATACGAAAATTAATTCAAGATGGATTAGAGACTTAAATGTTAGACCTAATACCATAAAAATCCTAGAGGAAAACCTAGGTAGTACCATTCAGGACATAGGCATGGGCAAAGACTTCATGTCTAAAACACCAAAAGCAACGGCAGCAAAAGCCAAAATTGACAAATGGGATCTAATTAAACTAAAGAGCTTCTGCACAGCAAAAGAAACTACCATCAGAGTGAACAGGCAACCTACAGAATGGGAGAAAATTTTTGCAATCTACTCATCTGACAAAGGGCTAATATCCAGAACCTACAAAGAACTCAAACAAATTTACAAGAAAAAAACAAACAACCCCATCCAAAAGTGGGCAAAGGATATGAACAGACATTTCTCAAAAGAAGACATTCATACAGCCAACAGACACATGAAAAAATGCTCATCATCACTGGCCATCAGAGAAATGCAAATCAAAACCACAATGAGATACCATCTCACACCAGTTAGAATGGCGATCATTCAAAAGTCAGGAAACAACAGGTGCTGGAGAGGATGTGGAGAAATAGGAACACTTTTACACTGTTGGTGGGATTGTAAACTAGTTCAACCATTATGGAAAACAGTATGGCGATTCCTCAAGGATCTAGAACTAGATGTACCATATGACCCAGCCATCCCATTACTGGGTATATACCCAAAGGATTATAAATTATGCTGCTATAAGGACACATGCACACGTATGTTTATTGCAGCACTATTCACAATAGCAAAGACTTGGAATCAACCCAAATGTCCATCAGTGACAGATTGGATTAAGAAAATGTGGCACATATACACCATGGAATACTATGCAGCCATAAAAAAGGATGAGTTTGTGTCCTTTGTAGGGACATGGATGCAGCTGGAAACCATCATTCTATACACCATGGAATACTATGCAGCCATAAAAAGGATGAGTTTGTGTCCTTTGTAGGGACATGGATGCAGCTGGAAACCATCATTCTCAGCAAACTATCACAAGAACAGAAAACCAAACACCGCATGTTCTCACTCATAGGCAGGAACTGAACAATGAGATCACTTGACTCGGGAAGGGGAACATCACACACCGGTGCCTATCATGGGGAGGGGGGAGGGGGGAGGGATTGCATTGGGAGTTATACCTGATGTAAATGACGAGTTGATGGGTGCAGCACACCAACATGGCACAAGTATACATATGTAGCAAACCTGCACGTTGTGCACATGTACCCTACAACTTGAAGTTTAATAATAATAAATTAATTAAAAAACAAACAAACAAACAAACAAAAAACACCAGGGGGTCATTCCAGGAACATGAAACTATATTTCTCAACCTTAGTTTTAAACCCTAGTACTTAAATCTCTTGATAAATGTTCTAGGATTGAGTTTTACTTTCCTTTAGCTTTTCAATCCTACCATTTTCACCTACACAGTGATTAAAAAACAGGTTTTCCTTGATTAATGTTCTCTGAGAAATTAAATTATTTCTAGATTTTTTCCTAAATAATATTATTTGCTAATTAAATATAAGTAGTATTCTAAAAGCAGTTTAAAACATGTATGGTCCAAATATAGTATATACATGGTATGACTTTATTTCTGTGACATTTCCATAATAATTTTCCATAATATTTCCATAATAATTCCATTGCTTATAAGATATTGGCTTCTAAATTTAATAAGTAATTAATTATGGTAAAATGAAATTTTCAGAAGAAAGTAAAGAACATTTATTTTAACACATGGGTATTGCTATGGCACGCTTTGTGAGAAAAAGAACTACCAATATTTTTGGATGGAATAAATAAAATACTGCAACCCCAAAATTTTAGAAACCAAAACAATGATCAATATTTAAATGATATATTCATACCTGAACACCAAAGAAAAATGGTATTCCCTAGATCTTCTTTAAATTCATCATTAAAGAGGTAACTAGATTCTGGAAATGCTTCATGGAATGTTGCATATATGGCTTGTGCCAAACAATCAGGATATATCTACCAAAATAAAATCATATCAGATTAATTTTATATTTTTAAATTTTAATATATGTCAGCTGCCAAAGAAATTATTTTTTAAATTTGCCTTACAATTTATTAACCAAATAAAAATTCGCCATTTTTTTAAATTCTAAAATCACATTTATATAAATTAATGTACATCACTATGCCTGATAGCTAAATTTGAACTCGAATATGTTTCAGAAAGGAGCAATGCCACCCTCTCCACTCCCTCCAACCACCTGGAAATTAAATTTCTTTGGTTTCCTTATGATTTTAAATTTTAGTTTTTAAAACTAGGTACACGCTTATTTAATATTTTTAACTTTCATTTTATCTTCAAGGGTACATGTGCAGGTTTCTTATATAGTCAAATTGCACGTTAAGGAGGTTTTGTGAACAGATTATTTCTTTTTATAAACACTAGTACAATTTATTGAGAAAGTAAGTCTGAGTCACAGGCAGTGGAGGGAGAAGATGATTAAATTATTGGGTTGGATTGTTGTTGTTGTTTTAAAAATTTATTTTGATTTCAATAGTTTTTGGGGAACAGGTGGTGTCTGATTGCACAGAAAAGTTCTTCAGTGGTGATTTCTGAGATTTTGATGCACTCATCACCTGAGCAATGCACACTGTACCCAATTTGTAGGCTTTTATCCCTCATGTCCCTCCCATTCCCATCCCCCTCCCATCCTTTCCCCTGAGTCCCCAAAGTCCATTATATGCATGCCTCTGCATTCTCATAGCTTAGCTCCCGCATATAAGTGAGACCATATGATGCTTGGCTTTCCATTCTTGAGTTACTCCACTTAGAATAATTGTCCCCAGCTCCATCCAGGTTGCTGTGAATGCCATTATTTCATTCCTTTTAATGGTTGAGTAGTATTCATATATATATACACACACCACATTTTCTTTATCCACTTGTTGGTTGGTAGGCATTTAGGCTGGTTTCATATATTTGCAATTGCAAATTGTGCTGCTATAAATATGCGTGTGCAAGTGACTTTTTCATATAATGTCTTCTTTTCCTCTAAGTAGATACCCAGTAGTGGTATTGCTGGATCAAACGGTAGTTCTACTTTTAGTTCTTTAAGGAATCCCATACTGTTTTCCATAGTTGTTTTATTAGTTTACATTACCACCAACAGTGTAAAAGTGTTCCCTTTTCACCACACCCATACCAACATACATTTTTTTGGATTTTTTAATTATGGCAATTCTTGCAGGAGTAAAATGGTATCATATTGTGGTTTTGATTAGTATTTCCCTGATAATCAGTGATGTAGAGCGTTTTTTCATATGTTTGTTGGCCATGTGTATATCTTCTTTTAAGAAATGTCTACTCATGTCCATTGTCCACTTTCTAATGGAATTATTTGTTTTTTCTTGCTGATTCGTTTGAGTTTCTTGTAGATTCTGGATATTAGTCCTTTGTCGGATGCAGTCTGCAAACATTTGCACCCACTCAGGAGCCTGTTTACTCTGCTGATTACTTCTTTTGTTGTGCAGAAGCTTTTTAGTTTAATTAAGTCTCACCTATTTGTTTTTGTTGAATTTGCTTTTGGTCTCTTGGTCACGAACTCTTTGCCTAAGCCAATGTCTAGAAGAGTTTTTCCAATGTTATCGTCTAGAATTTTTATGGTTTCAGGTCTTAGATTTAAGTCTTTGAGTCATCTTGAGTTGACTTTTGTATAAGTTAAGAGACAAGTATCCAGCTTTATTCTTCTACATGTGGCTTACCAATTTTCCCAGAACCATTTGTTAAATAGCGTCTCCTTTCCCCACCTTATGTTTTTGTTTGCTTTGTCAAAGATCAGTTGGCTCTAAGTATTTGGCTTTATTTAAGTGTTTACTATGCTGTTCCATTTGTCTACATACCTATTTTTATACTAGTACCATGGTGTTTTGGTAACATAGCCTTGTAGTATAGTTTGAAGTTGGGTAATATGATGACTCCAAATTTATTCTTTTTGCTTAGTCCTACTTTGGCTGTGTGGGCTTTTTGGTTCCATATGAATTTTAGGATTTTTTCTAGTTCTGTGAAGAAAGATGATGTTATTTTTATGGGAATTGCATTGAATTTGTAGGTTGCTTTTGGCAGTATGATCATTTTCACAAATTGATTCTACCCATCTGTGAGCATGGGATGTGTTTTTATTTGTTTGTCTCATCTATGATTTGTTTCAGCAGTGTTTTATAGTTTTCCCTGTAGAGGTCTTTCATCTCCTTGGTTAGGTATATTCCCAGGTTATTTATGTATTTATTTATTTTATATTTGCAGCTGTTGTAAAAGGGACTGAGTTCTTCATTTGATTCTCAGCTTGGTTGTTGTTGGTATATAGCAGTGCTACTTATTTGTGTATATTGATTTTGTATCCTGAAACTTTAGTGAATTTATTTGTCAGATATAGGAGATTTTTGGATGAGTCTTTAGGGTTTTCTAGGTATACAATCATATCATCAGAAAACAGTGACAGTTTGACTTCCTTTTTGCTCATTTGGATGCCCTTTATTTCATTCTCTTGTTTGATTGCTCTGGCTAGGACTTCCAGTATGTTAAATAGAAGTGGTGAAAGTGGGCATCCTTGTCTTGTTCCAGTTCTCAGGGGGGAATGCTTTCAACTTCTCCCCATTCAGTATAATGTTGGCTGTGTATGTGTCATAGATGACTTTATTACCCTGAGGTATGTCTCCTCTATGCCAATTTTGCTGAGGGTTTTAATCATAAAGTGATGCTGGATTTTGCCAAATACTCTTTCTGCATCTATTGAGATAATCATATGGTTTTTAATTTTGTTTTTGTGATGTATCACATTTATTGACTTGGGTATGTTAAACCATCCCTGCATCCCTGTTATGAAACCTACTTGATCATGTTGTATTATATTTTTGACATGCTGTTGGAATCGGTGAGCTAATATTTTGTTTAGGATTTTTGCATCTATGTTCATCAAGAATATTGGTCTGTAGTTTTCTTTTTTTGTTATGTTCTTTCCTGGTTTTGGTATTAGGGTGATACTGGTTTCATAGAATGAATTATGGAGGAATCCCTCTTTCACTATCTTTTGGAATAGTTTCAGTAAAATTGGTACCAATTCTCTTTAAATGTCTGATGGAATTCGGCTGTGAATCCATCTGATCCTGAAATTATGTTTTGGCAATTTTTAAATTAGTTTCAATCTCATTACTTGTTATTGCTCCGTTCAGAGTTTCTATTTCTTCCTGATATAATCTAGGAGAGTTGTATATTTCCTGGAATTTATCCATCTCCTTTAGATTTTGTAATTTGTGAGCATAAAGGGGTTCATAGTAGCCTCAAAAGATCTTTTGTATTTCTGTGGTATCGGTTGTAATATCTCCCATTTTGTTTCTAATTGAGCTTACTTGGATCTTCTATCTTCTTGCTTAATCATGCTAATGGTCATATTTGTTAATATTTTCAAAGAATCAACTTTTTGTTTTGTTTGTCTTTTATATTTTTTTGTTTCAATTTCATTTAGTTCTGCTCTGATCTTTGTTGTTGATTTTCTTCAGCTGGGTTTGGGATTGGTTCATTCTTGTTTCTCTAGTTCTTTGAGATGTGACCTTAGATTGCCTATTTGTGCTTTTTTAGGCTTTTCGATATAGACATGTAATGCTATGAACTTTCCTCTTAGCACTGCTTTTGCTGTGTCCCAGAGTTTAGATAGGTCATGTCAGTATTATTGTTCAGTTCACATAATTTTACAATTTTCATCTTGATTTCATTGTTCACTCAAAGATCACTCAGGAGCAGATTATTTAACTTCCATGTATTGGTATCATTTTGAGGGTTCCTTTTGGAGTAATTTCTAATTTTATTCTACTGTGGTCTGAAAGAGTACTTCATATAATTTTGATTTTCTTAAATTTATTGAGACTTGTTTTGTGGCCTACCATATGATCTCACTAGAAGGGAGCAGGAGTAGCTATCCTTATATTAGACAAAATAAACTTTAAAGCAACAGCAGTTAAAAAAGACAAAGAGGGACATTTATGTAATGATAAAGCAATCAGTCCAACAGGAAAATGTCACAATCCTAAATTTATATGCATCTAACATAGGAACTCACAAATTTGTAAAACAATTGTTACTAGGCACAAGAAATTAGATAGATAGCAACACAATAATAGTGGAGGACTTCAACACTCCACTGACAACACCAAACAGGTCATCAAGATGGAAAGTCAACAAAGAAATAATGCACACAAATTACACCCTAGAACAAATGGACTTAACAGATATTTACAGAATGGTCTACTAACAACTTCAGTATATACATTCTCTTCATCAGCACATGGAATTCCAGTACTATGTTGAACAACTGGTGACAGTGCGTATCCTTGTCATGCTCCAGATCTTAGAGGAAAACTTTCAGTTTTTCCCCATTCACCATGATACTAGCTCTGAGTCTATCATATATGGTTTTTATTATGCTGAGGTATATTCCTTATATCACCAATTTTTTGCTAATTTTTATCATGAAGGGATATGGAATTTTATCAAGCGCTTTTTTTCAGCATCAGTTGAAAGGACCATATGGTTTTTATCCTTCATTCTGTTAATATGATGTATCACACTGATTAATTTGCATACGTTGAACCATCCTTCCACTTCAGGAATAAATGCCACTTGGTATTGATGAATGATCCTTCTAATGTATTGTTGAATTTGGTTTGTGGTATCTTGTTGAGGATTTTCGCATCAATATCCATCACTGATACTGGTCTGTGGTTTTCTTTTCTTTTCTTGATGTGCCTTTGTCTAGTTTTGGTATCCAAATAATACTGCCTTGTAGAATGAGTTTGGGAGTATTCCCTCCTCCTCTTTTTCTTTGAAATAGTTTGAGTAGAATTCGTATTAGTTCTTCTTGGAATGTTTGGTAGAATTCAGCAGTGAAGCCAGCAAGTTCTGGGCTTTTCCTTACTGGGATACTTTTTAATATGGCTTTGATCTCATTACTTTGTTTGTTCAG